CAGAATAGCCCCAAACTGCAAATAACCCAAACAGCAATCAACAGTGGGATGGATAAGCAAACTGTGGTTTGTTCATAGGCTGGAATACAACACAGCAATCAAAAAGAATGAGCCACTGTAATATGCAAAAGGACAGAATGTTGAGTGAATGAAGCCAGGCAGAAGCGTCAACAGGGGCATCTGGGTGGCGCTGTCCGTTGAGCATCTGACGCTTGGTTTCAGCCCAGCTCATGATCTCAGGGTCGTGGGATTGAGCCCCATGTCAGGCTCTGCACTCAACATGGAGTCAGCTTAAGACTCCCTCTCCCTTTCCTTCAGCCCCTCCCCGCTCCGTACTCTCTCTCTCTCTCTAAAACAAATAAATCATTTTTTTTTAAAAAGAGTAAATGTACTGTATGATTCAATTTATAAGAAGTTCAGAAAGAGGCAAAACTAATCTGCGATGGCAGAAGTAAAACAAGAAATTTCCTTTAGGGGATACTGTCTTGGAAGGGTGCAAAAGGGCACTTTCGAGCGCTGGAAATGTTCTAGATCTTGATCTGGTTCATATACAGGTACCAGCTTACTGATGTGTGTACTTGACGGCACGTGAGTTATACTCCTGCTAGAAAATGTAAATGACTAAACGTATGTGGAGTGTGAGTCTCTGTCAGAAGCTCAGAGGGCTATTTGGAAGGATATTATGAAATGATTTTGCTGCTCCTTCTCTCCCGCTCTCAAGCCCTCCCTCGCCCCACTCCTCTGCCTCTCTCTAAATAGGAGCCTCTTGTTCCTCAACATTCCTTTATTCCACTCCTTTACTCCTTCATCGGAACCCCTACAGTGAGTCAGGGACTATTCTAGAAGCTGAAGGTACAGGCTAACTCTCAGCCCTCCTTTGCGCAATTAAACAGGTACTTCATATCTACTCAGGGGCCCCTGCTCAGCAGCAGGGAGCATTTCTCTCAAGCAGGTCCCAGTGGCAAGAACTGGGCATTGAATTTCTGAGATCCCTTCCAGTCTTCACCTGTGGTTCAAGAAAGGAGGAAGGCGCCTACTGTGTGCTGGTGTGCGTTTATTTCTCTACAACATAGGTCACAGAGCTGGAAGGCAGCAGGGGTAGAGGGACAGGTTTGATTCCTACCTCTCTGCCCTTCCCAACACTGCCAAGGACCACCCTCCCAGGAGCCAGGTCAACCTCGCCCTCTCTCTGAGCATCCGTGAAGTTGGCCTCCGAGGTGGCCCCTCCATTGATTCCTGCCTCCAAGTAATCATGTCTTTACATAGGTCCCTCCCATAGTCAATGACGATGACCTAGACAACAAACAGGATTCTGTAAACATAACAGTATTTGTCTTCCAAGGCGAGGACAAAAAGACATTGTGGCCACCACGTTGCTCTCTCTTGAACCACCCACTTTAAGGAAGCCAGCCACCATGTTGTGAGGACACTCAAGCAGCCCCATGGAGAGCACCATGGGGCAAGAAACTAGGACCTCCTGCCAACAGCCCACACCAACTCAATAGCCACATGAATGAACCACTTGGAAGCAGCTCCTCCAGCCCCAGTCAGGCCTTCAGATGACCACAGCCCCAGCTGACGTCTTGAGTGCTGCCCCACGAGAGATCCCCAGCCAGAACCAGCCAGCCAAGCCCCTCCCAAATTTCTCACCCATGGAAACTGCATGGGATACTAAATGCTTGTGGCTGCTTTCTGCTACTAACCTTGGGGGGAGATTGTTACACCTATTGCTGTGTAAATAATACAGCCCCTCTCAGATCAGATCATGGTTCATGTTGCAAGAACACTCTGGAAGGTAGCATGTTAAGGCATCCAGAACTACCCACTCTCCAGAGGGGTGACCAGTGCAGGCTGAGTTTGAGAGGACAAGAGAGAACACACATATGCAAGAAATCCCCAGCATGTGGGAAAAGAGCTGTGAAATAAGAAATCAAGCAAAGCAGAAATCTTGGCACCTTCTTCCCTAGAAATTTCTCACACACTCCATCTATCTCGGTAAATGGAACCATGTGCACCCCGTGACTCTAGCCAAAAACCTGGAGTCATCCCTGGACCCATTCTCTCTCACACACCCAACATCTCATTCATCAGCCAAGTTCTGGGCTCTACCTCAGAATGTATCCCAGATCTGGCCCCTTTTCACTGCCTTTCCGGCAAGCACCATGGACTAAGCCACCAGCCTCCCCCACCTGGACCATGTCAGCAACCTGCTGGCCCATCTCCCTAGCCTACCCTGTGCTTGCTCAAGTCCAGAGCAGCCTTCTCAAAACAGAGATCCGATCATGTCCTATGTGCTCAAAACGCTCCTGGGCTCACTATTCTCCAGTGACATGACCTTCTTTCAAGCATTTGATAAGCTCATCTCACCTCAGGGCCTTTGCACTTGCTCTTCCAACTTCCAGGTCACCAAGGAACATCAACATTTGGGTCTCACCTCATGTGATCCTTCCTCTGAAAAGTCTTCCTGGGTCACATTAGCCTAATCACTCTCTAACACACTGCTTTACTTCATTTCCTTCATAGCATGTTTATCCTACTTATTGTCTGTCTCCCCCAGGAGAATGTCAATCCCATGAGGGCAAATGCCTTATCTGTCTTATATACCCAGAACACTGCCTGGCCCTTGGAAAGAGCTCAGTAAGCATTTGTGTAATGAGCCCTGTCTAGAGGTAAGGGGATGGATGAGATGATCTCCAAGTTGATCTGGTTATAAAATCCAGAGGACAGAGCTCTGCTGTGTGTGCTGGGGCTCCCACCGCCCTTCCCGGCAGGAGGAAAAGGCAGGGCAGTAGTAAGATCTGTGGTTTTAGGGGAAAGACTTGCCAGCTGGGTGGAGTGCACACCACCAGTGCATCCCATTTCCTATAGAGGAAAATCCTCTAAAAGGCTCTTTCTGTCTGTCTGGCCATGCCCACCTCTACCCTCTGGGCTGTCCTCCAGGGCTAGGCAGAGCAGAATTTTGCTACAACCTACAGCCTGGGGGATTCTGAGTCCCCAGCATTTCCAAGAATTGCCAGGCAGGTTATGCCCCCAGAAATCATTTCTGGCATCCCTCTGGCATCTCAGCCCCCATTCAACCAGACTCAGACCCTTCAATGCCAGTGTGTTCATTCCATCATCCTGTCTAAAGGCATCTGCTGCGGCAAGAGACAGAAAGCCAAGGGGGAGGGGCAGGGAAAGATTAAGGAACATCAGCAAGGTGGGATCTTTAGAAGGAAGCACCAAGGCCCAGGGACAAAGATGGTGAGGAGTTACACCATGAGACCTTGGGAAAGTCATTAGCCCTTTGGGTGCCTCAGTTTCCTTATTCATAAAACAATGGGATCTTTCAGCCTGTTTTACGCCATGATGGGATTAAAAGAATAAAGTCAGATAATGCACTGAAGTGCTTTCTAAAGCCCAAAGCGCTGTACAAACATTCATTGTTATTAAGAGAAGCAGGTGCAGAAAGGAAGAGAGAAAGGGAGTAGACAGGGGAGGAGCGAGAAGGCGCAGCCTCTGGGGTTAAAGGGTGGAGAAGCTCTGCTCTGGATAAAGAGAACAGGGAGGCAGATGTAGGGAGAAGCAGAAACTCACTGCCCACCCCCACCAAGGGAGACAAGGCTTCGAGAAGCAGAAAAGCAAAAGGCAATGGGAGGGGCAGCTCTCCAGGTGTGCCCACTGTGAGCCAGGCCCTTTGCAATTCTGCTAGGAGGGCACTCCTACCTGGAGTTTACCGATGGGGAGACGGCCCCAGCAAGACCAAGGATTTTGCTTGAGCAAGGTCACCCGGGAGGAAATGGATTACCTCGCAGATCTGTCCACTCCATGAGCACCCTTCTCTACAATAATCCTTGGCGCTTGGAGTGACGGGTTGATGATAATGACCAGTTACTCCATTCTGGAGCACCTACCTTACATCAGGCACTGACCTGGGCACTTTCACACCCATTATCCCATTTCATCCTCATAATAACCTCTTCTTATTCCCGTCCACTCAAAGATGAAACAGGCTCACAGAGGTTGCATGACTGGCCCAAGGTCATTCAGCAAATAAAGAAGCAAAGGATGAGATGAACCAGATACTGAGTCTCCACTGCCCCGTGCATGCTTTTGAAACTTCCTCCCTCCTCCTTCCATTCACTGAACTCCTTCCAAAAAGATCTGGGGTGAACAGCAAAGGTGGGCTGCAAGGGCAGGGGAAGATGAGCCATCATGGCGGGCTGCACAGACGGACAGGTAAGGCCCGGCATTTCCACCTCCAGAAAACTGGGCCCATGTGACAGAACAGCCGCCCTCCCAGATAAGCCATCATAACCCAGCACTCTAAGAAGCCCGCTCCTGACCCATTACTCCTCTGTCCAGGCCTGAGAGGATGCAGCAGGGCTCCAAGCCAGCCAGGCCAACCCTCTAGCCTTCTTGCCTCAGTTTTCTTCTCTCACCTAGGCTAGCCTTGAAACACCGATGGGGAAACTGAGGACTAAAGTGCCACCTGGCCAATAACAAGAGTGAGATGATCTCGAAAGAGGTTCTGTGCCCAGGGAAAGCCTGACCTCTGACCTCATCCCCACTTCCCCACCTATCCCGTTTTCCCGCCATTGGCCTCCTTTGGCTGTGGCCCCCACCCCAAGTTTTTCCAGACTGCCTAAATTGGGCCAACCAGGGCTCTGTGCCGCCCAGGGGATAAATGAAATGCATCCCCCTCCTCCTTCATTCCCCGAACCAGCGCCCCCTCCCCCAACTAAGGGAAATACTTTCAAAGTCCCCTCCCTTGGAGCTTGGTTCCCGCCAGCCACCTTCAGGAGCTGCTCAGACCCCGCACCGCGGCCCCCCACCCCCGGCCTCGCCTTCACCTTGACCCGAGCCCGCTCCCGGCCCGAAGCTTTGCATAAACAAAGAGCCGGGCAGGGGACGACCCGGGCACCGCCCCCGGCCCGCCGGCGCCCCCTGCTCCCGTCCCGGACCCGAGCCAGTCCCGTCCCGGAGCCCCCCGCGGAGCCTACCGGCCCGCGGCCGCTTACCTTGGCCTGGCATTTCCGATGACAGGAGAAGCTGCAGACTGCGAGAGGGCGAGACACAGAAAGAAAGTTTAGCCGCGAGGTATGAAATGGAAACTTGGGCGAAATCTCCTCCCACCCCCGCCCGCACTCAGCTCTCGGGAGGGAAGGAGGGAAGGAGGGAAGGAGGGAAGGAGGAACGGAGGGAGGAGGGGGCGGAGGGGGGCGGCTGCCGCAGCTCCCCGGGGCCTGCGGGGCGGGAACGCCCGGGACTGCGGACCCGCGGGCCGCGGAGGCGCCGAGCCCCCATTGCCAGAGCCCCCGGGGGGCGGGCGCGGGGAGGTGGGAGGGGCGGGGGGAACCTACTGCCCGGCTGGATCTGTGCCAGGGGCAGAGGTGGCCGGGACCCAGGCCCCGTGGCAGCCGCGCCAAGGAATACGGCTTGGGGGGTGGGGCGGGGTTCTCCCATTACATACACACCAGGCAGGCAGGCAGCCGGCACCCCAGGAACCGTGATCGCTGACTCTCCCCCAGAGAGAGACGCACACACCCAATTTACGGTCCAGGAGAAGACGGGTGCACACACACATGCACACTCACCAATAACCACTATCCCCGTGCACTCGGCCAGACATGTACACATACACATATATATACACACATAGACTCACACACACTCACACTCATGCCCCAGGGAAACCTCTGACTCAGGGGCACCAGCACACACACTTTCACAGGACACCCCCAGCATACAGCGCGACACAGGCATTGGACACGGACACACGGATAGATGAGCCTTACGCAGGCTCACAAACTCCTTGTGCATCATTTGAAACACACACACACACACACACACACACACACACACACACCAGACTTAACTCTGCCCTCCCACCACCAGAAGCTGGAATCAAATTTCCTATGGGGTTCCCTCAGTCTGGAATGTCCCAGCCCTGCCTGCCCCACCCCCAGGGCCCTCCACCCTGGAGTTTGGTGGTCCCCTCCCACCAGGTCTCACGGATGGGGTAAGGGGTCTTCTGAGCTGATCTTCTGCACTGACTTGACCTTGTTAGCTGCTGAGATGGGGCAGGGGCGGGAGGTGGTGGTAGGAGTCAGGGAGGCCGGGGAGAGCAGCCCCAACCCCAAATCCTTGGCAAGCACAGCCCTGGGCCACAGCCCGCTGCCACGGCCTCTTGGATCTACAGTTCATCCAACCCTTCCTGGCTTTGAGCCAACCTGATTCTCAGCTGAATGCAAAAGGGGGAGACTGAGGCATAGATAAAGGCCCAGAGCTGCCAAAAGAGGGCTGTCCATACTAAGGCTTCTGATTGGTCTGTAGGAGTGGAAGTCTGGGATGTGACCTTGGCCACTGGCCCTGCCTGGGAACTTGTTCTCCCAGAACCTAGTCCTGGCCCCAGCTCAGGCCTGTGACTCAGTTGTTGCTGAGCAAGCCTTTCCTAACCCCACCAGCCACCCAGGCCAGCTCAGGGACTTCTGCACCCCTGACCACACCAGGACATACGCACCCCTGGCCACCCAAATCAAATCATGCCCATCTGTCTAGCCTTTCTGCTTCTCTCTTGCCTTACCCCACCCCACCCCCACTACCCCCAAGGATGGCAATTCCCCTCCAGACACCCCAGCCCCACCCCCATGCCTTCTTTCCTGGCCTTGGAATGTGGAATTGAGAAAGCCTCAGGCCATGTGGCTTGAGCTGGCCCTTCCAGCCAGGCAGGCGCCCCACTGGGCCACTACCTCCAAACAGAAGGACCTTTCCCCTTCCTCTGCTGATCAAATCCCAACCCTCCTGGAATAAGTCCTGGGCCCCTCCTCTGTTCCCTACGTCCTTAAAGGTATCACCACACAGAGCACGTTTCCCCCACCGCCTTGGTCCCTATAACTGTGGGCTCCCTTCAGAGGAAGGACCTGTCTCTCTCTCTCTCTTTCTCTCACTACACAATACCTGGTCCACAGTAGAAGCTTAATAAATGATTAAGGAGTTGGACCTGACTAAAGATCTCCCCTGGAGTTTATGTGTTTCCCCATTTAATCATTCCCACCCCACTCTCAGCTTTCCCTTGAGCCATACCCTGCCTGCCCCCAACATTTCATGATCCATCAAAAAAGCATTCCTTAAGTGTCCACTCTGGGCCTACTGACCCCAGTCAAGATACCAACAGCACAATGACCTCTGGGACTCCAACTTCAAGTAACTGACAGTTCACAGAATGCGCCAAACCCTTTCCTACCTCAGGGCCTTCGCACTTGCTGTTCTGGCTGCCTGGACCATTCTTTTTCACCCCAGCTGTCTGTCCATTGCTCACCAAGCCAAATCCTTCTTCTCCTTCTAGAGTCCACTGAAAGCCATCCATCAACTCCAAGAGCCTTTTCCTGACCACCTTAATGACATTAGGCACCTCCCATATTCTTTCTCGGCAAGACCCTGATATTTCCTTCTTAATACAGTTCATAGTCTGAAGTCAACATGGGTAACTACTGCTCGCTTATGAATAAGTCTACCTCCCTACACTAGACCTATGAGGGCAGGGAGCATGCCTGTCTCATTCACAGCAAATCCCCAGTAGCTAGAACACTTTCTGATCCAGCCCCTGGGACACACAGCTGAATGCAGCATCTTTGTGGAAATGGCAAGAAGGTGCCCTTTCTCCAGGCAGACCCAACTCTGTACCTGGGTGCACGGTCTGGAGAGCAAAGCGTGCTGCTTCCAGTGCTCTCTCTGTTAGGTGCCCTTGGCAGTGAACAGCCTGCATGACCGTCCGGGGCAGCTCCGCCTGTTGCACAGTGGGCAGACACTCAACAAATGCCCTTGGGTGGAAGGCAGATGGAGAGATCATTGGGCAACTGCAGTACAGTGAGCCGAGGGCTCCGTGAGTGCTGGAATGCAGAGGGTGCCCTTGAGAGCTCTCCAGTGGGGAGCAAAGGAAGACCTTCCCCAGGCCCCAGCCCGGAACACAAAAGTTCCGCAAACTCCACTCAAGTGGCAGGTTCCCAGCAGCTCTGCCGGTGGATTTGTACACCTTAGGAGCACCCATGCCCACCCCCAGAGAGGCCCTCTTGGGCTGAGCGCCCTCCAGGAATGGTGCCCCTAGTCTGGCCACCCTTCTCCGGTCTCCCCCAGGGGGCAGTATTTCCTACTCTAACTGGCAGTTCCCGTGCTGTCACATGGAATTTGGGCATGCCATTCTCTACTGGCTTCCCGCTTTCCAGATCCATGGCACGTTCAAATGTGCTCCAGGAAGGGAAACTGCGGCAGCCAGTGTTTTCTGCCTCCTGGAGGCACACCTTCCTGTCATCCTCTCCCACAGTGAATGGCGCTGGCTTATGTACCCCCACTGAATATTGTAGAAACGCTGGCATGTGACTCCTGAGGCTCTGTCATCAAAGGCATGGTGGCTTCAGCCCTGGTGTCTCCGATCACTGGCTCTGGGGGAAGCCAGGTACCACCCAGGATGCATGAGGACCTCCAGGCGATGCTATAGAGAGGCCCACATGATGAACAGCTGGGGTCCCCCACCACCAGTCAGTACCAACTCGGCAGGCGCGTGGACCAAACCACCTTGCAAGCAGACCCTCCGGTCCCCGTCAGGCCCTCCGATGACTATGACCCCAGCTGACATCCTGACTACATTTGCGAGAGATCCAGACCACCCCGTGAAGCCACACATGAAAACCTGACCTTCAGAAACCATGTGAGATCATAATTTCATATCTGTTGTAAATTGCTAAGTTTGGGGACAAATTTGTTGTGTAGCTCCAGATAACCAACACAGAGACCAGAGCCCAGGAGCCCTCAGAAAGCAAGAGGCTAAAGGCTGATGCTGGACACTGAGGCCAGAAGCCACCTCCCCAGTCCTTCCTTGCGCCCCAAGAACAGGCATGTTCATCTCTGAAATTCCTTCTTCCCTTTCCTTCCCCCTACCAAGAACTAGTCATCATGTCCCAGAAAGTAACTCCAAAGAGGCTGTCCAATCTCCCTCCTTCCTGCCAGTTCAGACCAATTATCCTTCCCTGGGCCCTGTCTCTCCAGCTTTCCCCGCCCCCTTTAATCCACAGAGCCGCAGGCCATTCTCAAGTGCAAACTAACCACACTGCACTCCTGCTTAGAACCGTTTTGTCCAGCCCCTCAGCACACTTATAACACCCTTGCCGCCACTTCCAGCCACTGCCCCCAAAAGAGATCTGCCATCCTGAACTCCCCAAAAGGACACTGAATCTAGTACGTCTGAAATGGGGAACTCCTATACATCCTCCAACGCCCATTTCAAAATGTCCCTCCCTGGATAATCAGGCACTCAAAGATGATCCCTCCCTCCTCTGTGCTCCCAGTGAGGTCCTGTTCAACCTGGCAGTTTTGTGTCCTGCCCCTCCTCCTGGCACAAGGTCTGACATACAGATGGGGCTCAACAAATGTGGTGTAAATTTAAAAACTGGAAGAATTCTTCCCAGCCTAAACCACTGGGACCAATGCTGATGTTCTGGGGCAATGGAAGAGCCACAGTAGAGGGTGGATGAACCCCACTTTTCCGCTCCAGCCCCTGCTGGGAGAGGGCCAGTGTGGACCATGGCCACTGCTTTCTGAGTGCCTCAGGACACACACCACCCATGATCCAAACTGGTCCAGCTCTCCATCTACCCGCTTTCCTATCTGGCTGCATGGAGACTGGCTCTCAGCCCAGATGTTGGTCATGCTCTGCGACCTGGGACCAGTTAGCCACTCTGAATCTCTTCGTTCTCCTCATCTATAAAATGGGGGCAATAGTAGCATCTTTCCCAGGGTTGTTGTGAGAATTGACGGACTTCGTGTGTGTGGCTGGCCCTGAGGATGCTCTGTGGAAGGTTGTAGCTGGCATCAGCATTGGAGAGCCCCTGTCTCCTAATCAGGACACCGGGTTCTAGTCCTGAGGACCATCGTACAACTGTGTGACCCGAAGCAAGTACCTCTCACTCTCTGGTCCCCACCACACCCTGCTGACTCACACTCGTTAGCCTAGATTAGCCCTGAAACCCCCCCAGCTGCTGAGCCCTAGAACAGAGGGTCCTC